CTTAGTCCTGAACACCCTAAGTGAAACCGAAATCTGTGATTTACGCTCCTAAGTGAGGCAGCGAGCATCCCTGACCTTCTCACATAGGAGTCTCCCGGGAAGCTCACGTCAGTGGCGTGGGACTATATCACCCTATACCTAATTATCTATAAGCGGCAACCGCGGGGTTGTTATTTTGTGACCGTGAACAACTAGTGTAATGTCAAGTACCGCTTGTAATTTGATTGAATTTTTCTAAATTTATAATACCAGGAGATTATGATCCTCATCAATTTCTCTCGACAATGCCGTTTGTTTGATTATAGTTGCAGCCACTTCCGCTGGTCCAACCGAAAATGATAATTCAAAACCAAGACCGTGGTTACTTGCTGTGTATACTTTCGTGGTTGTGCTGTTAACTGTGTCGTTTACTGTCCTCTTCATCCGGTGCAGACGACGAAAATCAAGGAAGAAAACAGGTATGACAGAGAGTTTTAGAAAATAGCCCAAAGAAAATACGCGCGCTAATTGGTTAAAGAGTTCTATTCAAACAATTTTTCTGTCAACAAGGAACTATCGCCTGATAGTTGCCTAGCGGAAATTTGTTCTTAAAACAAATAATTGGAAAAAAAAAATGAAATTCCGCTAACAATAGCTTACGGTGCATCTGTACTATGACAAAGCACGCTGTTGCAACCAACCCGAGCTCGCGTTACATCTAAACTTTATCATAACAAGGAAAAAAAAAAAGTTAGGATATCATTACACTGGACTGCAGGTGACAAATGAATATCGGAAACTGAGAGGCGTTCATTATCAGAAGGGATCTACAGTCCACACCGGTCCTGATCCCCGGGAAGACTCCCTTATAAAAAGAACAGGGGTGTTCGTCGTACCTTTTAGGGGTTAAAAAAGTAGTTTTGGTGCCTCTTAGGGTGTTCAGTTTCAAAAGGTCCGCAGCGGGAACTTTTGCGGTTTAGGCTATTGAGCAGAAAAAAATCAATACGACAGGATGGGTTGTTTTAGAATTGGTATCTCTTAGGGGTAAAAATGTTTTTAAGTCACGCCCACAAGGCAGGATCTTGGTACCTCTTAGGGATTCCCGACGATCACACCCGTCCTTTTTATTTGGGAGTATACCCCCTGGTTTCTGATCCCGGGTCCAACAGCTTATTTAGTGCGATCATTCTGCCTTGTTTTGCAGCAAAAAGGTCGAGAGCCGTAGAAGAAGCAGCACAATACAACTATATTTTTGACGAAATCAAGGGTAATTCATCATGTCAAACAGAGACAGCGACCCACTATGTCGTACGCACTCTTCCACCCCGTCCAAGTTACCAAAGTGTCGACCCTTCAACAAAGGAACCTGTCAGATACGAACGAAGACATAGCGAGATACACATTTATGAGGAATTGGATTTCCGAAGATTGAGTGATGGTCAGAATTACGAGAATCTTCGTAAAATCAAAGTCGATGTTGAATATCTTGAGTTAGTGGATGACCCCAAATTGACAACTGGAAATGCCGCCTCCGATGTTTGTAATAATTCGGATGGAGGCAAGGTTGATGTTGATGGGTATCTTGAACCAGT